AACACGATCGGGCCGATCATCGGCCGTTCCGTGTTTTTGGCCAGACATCCGCCGGCCGATAATCAACCCGTCCGTGCTAAGAGGGTTAATAAAAGAGACAGTAGAGTGAATTTGTTTACATTAAATAGATGCTGAATTTTTTTTGGCTATCTTCAGAATAACGGTCCCAAATTATGGAGGCGGAAAATATACCTTAACAGCCTCAGTCACGTATCAATTACGCACTTCCAGGGACTATACCACAACCCCTAAATTGCGAACTTCTGGTTGGGGACTATATCGCCACCACCGAGAGTATCCCCCAGATGGCTGGGACTCAGGAGCAAATAAAATGAAGGAAGCTGCAAGATATGCGGTAGCTGCTGCTCGTGAGTCCTAGCCATCTAGTTTATCCTAAATCCACGGCACGTGGGCGGCGTTGGGATACTCTCAGTGGTGGCATACTCTCGACGGTGGCGGAAATTGCCGGTAGTGAGCAATTTAAGTTGCGGGAAGTTCGCAGATGACATGTGACAAAGACTCTGTTAGGGTATATTTTCGGCCTCGATAATTTAGGACTGTTTTTCGGAAGATAGCCGAAATTTTTATTGATTCGTTTAGTTTATTGATTTATTAATTTTAATGGCGTAACCAACTGTAGTAGTTATAAATACATTTTTTTGCTATCCTCCTAATAACGGTCCCAATTTATTAAGGCCGGAAATATACCCTAACAGGGCCTAAAAAATATGTAAATTTTTGACCTTTTTCCGGCGACCACACTGTATACCGTGGAAAAGCTTTTGTCGAATGAAAGTCACTGCCGAGCGAGAATTTTCCCTGCTCCGGGAGGGGGTGGGGGTGGGGGGGGGTCACGTGCAGCAGCTACAGTGTCTCCTGCAGCTTTCTCTATATTTATTTTAAAGTCCCAGCCATCTAGTTTAGGATACTCTTGGCGGTGGCGGTACAGTCGCAGGAAAGAGGTCAGCAATTTACATATGGTTGATTCCGTTAGGGTATTTTTAAGGCCTTGATAATTTGGGGCCGTTATTTGGGGAATAGCTCATTTATTTCTATTGCAGCTTTAATGGACTTCAGGCTTGTTCTAGAAATTTGAGTTCTGCATGCTTGCATGCTCATCCGTTTTACAGATCTTCCTTTTTTATATCATTGGTTCCTCTCAGTCAGATGTGAGAGACTCTGACTTGACAGGAAATAGCCAAGTTAGTCCCCTAGTACAGAGACAGATGTGAGATAGACTCTGACTTGACAGGAAATAGCCAAGTTATTCCCCTAGTACAGAGACTTACAACCTGCTTGTTAGGGGCAGTGGCTATTCTTGTCCTCCTATCAGATCTGAGATCAAAGATCTCTGACTTGACAGGAAATAGCCTAGTTAGTGCCCTTGTATTGCAAACACTGCTGACACAACTCAGCGTTCAGCGAAGAGTGGTAATGCAGTGGATACCGTCTCATTGTGGAGTGCCTGGAAATAAGAAAGCTGATCAACTGGCAGGGGAAGGTGCGACAAAAAAGCAGCCGGATGTACCAGTCACATACCACCAAAAGAAAAGAATCATTAAATCGATCAGGAAACCACCAGCCCCAGCACAAGACGACTATTTTATTATGGACAGACCAGAACAAGTCATTATCCTCCTGCTCAGAACAGGGCACAACCGATTATGTAACCACATGTACACAAAATTCAAGATAGGTGTATCAGCCATGTGCACCTGTGGAAATGTGCCCCAGACAGCAGAGCATGTACTCCAGGACTGCACCAATTTTGACACATTAAGGCAAACCTTTTGGCCAGAAAGAACAACAGTGGAACGTAAACTCTATGGACCACTGAATGAACTAACAACGACAGTGAAATTTATACAAGAGACAAAACTGCTGATATAGACAACTTATTTCAGGTGAACGAAAGAAGAAGAGGAAGTGCCCTTGTACAGGTACAGCCTGCTTGTTAGGGGGTAGGAGCTCTAGTCTTCTCCCCCTAAAATAGGGCCCCGCAACCTACACAGGGAATAGTTTTCCCAATTTTTGGATATTGATACAATCGTCAAAATCTGTGCAAAGCTGTCTGCTACTAAATCCCCAGCAGATGGAATTAAATTATGTACCTCAAAATTAACTATAAGCCACATATGGCTATACACCGACCATAAGGAAAAGACCACGTTAAAACATGACCTATCTGTCAGTCTACATATAAATGCAATTTTTTATACACTGCTTTTTAAATACTGACCATGTGATTGAAACAATTATGATGTTATCCAAACACAAATCATCAGTTTAAATGCATTAGAAATTACACATTGTTTGCAAGCAGTGTATTGAAGTGTTTATCTGTGTTTACAAACATATATCTCATGAACATACACACAAGAACATTCAGTGGCAGCAAACTGTGTTTAGAATAAATTATTTTTTAAACCTTTTTAGAAATTAACAATGGGTGCAGTCAGATATATGTATAACTCTTAGTTGAGTGGGAACAGGTTGCCTGGTGTTCAGAGAGTGGCACTAGCCATTGTGATTCTTCTGCATATTGCAGTATTTTTGTCATCACTCCTTGTTCTCCTTCATCCTTTGCTTTCTTTCAGAATCAGATCAGGTCCTTTTAGGTTTTGGGTGTGGCACATGCATTTGTAGTGTTTGTAGTTGCATTCTCATGTGCCTAAACTATTGAATCTGCTCCTCAAAAAATTATGCAAAAGACAGTTTTCCCCCACAATCAGTTATATCCTTTCAGAATCAGATAAAGAAGTTGATGACGGTGGTGGAAAGCATAAGACAGTGTCTGTAGACACAGTTTCAAACTACTACACTTTTTTTCTTCTCTTCCATTTCCTGGTTTCAATTGTGCCTACAGCTGCTGACCATGTAGTTGGTTCTGTCATGGCAGCTAGCAATGTAAACCAGTAGCAGCTAGAGGTGCTAATGTATCACAGATAATGAATGAATGATTGACCCAAGATAGTCGACATACTGCACTTAGGACCTGCCCTCTTGTGCTCTCTCCCCGTCCTTCATGTTTGTGTAAGCTTGTTGAATGTGTTGACTGATGGGTATTGATTTAACTAGCATCCCTTGTTGGGATCCAATTGAAGTGCATATGCCTGAGAGTCGAGGACCCAACAACCTGCATACAAATAAGCCAAAGCCAGATCTGTAAAACTGATGTGTACAAAAATCTCAAGTCCTGGTACAAGACCAAAGTGGGTGAGCAATCATAAAATTTCACTGGAGTTTACAACTGGTGAACATGGTGAAGAAGAATCAGAAGATAGAACTAATAGGGAGATGCAGTTGTTTTCAGTATAGTTAGTGTGTACTACATAAATGTAGGTATAGTATTTAATATTTCTGTCAGAATTTCTCATTTCTCATTTTTGTTTTCAGTTTGTGCCTTTCTCTGATCGCATTTTGAATGTGAACACTAATGTAATTCATCAGATCCGCAGAACTGATGATGAGGTAAGTCTATTTAAGATGTATATACTCGTTGAAACAATCATCTTCTTATTAACATGGGTTCAGTGTGCCTTAACATTTGAGAAACAAAAGTAATGAATGTAGAGTGGTTGACTGCCTCACTGGCTGCAAATAAATGAAACATCTAAGAATTAGGTCAACATAGAAAACCACTTCCCCTTGATTTCATCTCATAATTCTGCATAACATGTGTAACTGTTTCTGATTGTTTGAACAACCAGATCAGTACAATATTCAACAAGCCAACCGGCTTAATTATTAGCTTTTTGCGTTATTGATTGTTAAGTGTGAACCCCACCCATTTATTTCTCTCAGGTGCAAAGGACTTCAGAATGTACAACAGTTTCGACATAATTAGTGACTGAGCCATCTGAACACAGCATTTACTGGCTCTGATTTTTATTCTTATGCTGGATGGTATGAGTAAGCTTCTAAAGATATACCAGAGACTTCATCCATAATAAACCTGCATTTCTTGCACAGCACTCATCTGTCTGTGAATTAAATCTTGTAGCCATGTCTCCCATCTGTTTTAGAAACAGTCTCCCTTTCTGTCATTAACACACTCAGCTTAAAATTCATAGCAGTAAATTCTCTGGAAAATATAGGCCAGCCTGGGTTGATAGGCAGCGTAGAACTAGAACCATATACCCGTCTGCCTGAAGATGTTTAGAAAGTTATCCTTTACTCTTTCTATTTCCTCTTGCAGTCTGCCATTAGCAGACTCCACCGAGAAAGGTCAAGCAAGCATATAGTATTATCATTAATGTGCAGGCACTTTTGTATACGGTGGGTTCATTAATTTCCACAGATCATACATTTCCCTTTCCCCTCCCCAGTCATGGCTGTGTTCACTTATAACCAAAGAACATTGTCATGTCTCTTGTGGTTGTGTATTCGATTTTTCTAGGCAGTTGTTGTTAGATTGTCCAAAGTTAAAGTACCATCAAATATTTCCCTAATTGTTTAGTTAATGGTAACAATTTGTTTTCTTTCACCCGCAGATTGGAACCATCTATTTTGGCGACGCTTTATCCAAATGGACTGATCTGGACTTAACAGATCATTTCAGTATGTACCTATAATTTTGTATTTAATTTCATGCATGAGCAGGAACGACATATGCTAGTGACAGACGGCAGAAAGCTGACTTATTCATTGTGAATATTCTGCCAACAGTGATGATGAAATAAAGTTTGTGATAATAAACATTTAGGAACATGTTTAATTGACAAAAAAATTTGGTCCATCCGAGTAGATACTCACTCCATGTTTGTTCCAGTCTTTGTTGTGCTGTATAGATTATAACTGTGTTTGCGCTCAAAATTTGAAGAAGAAAAAAACTGGACACATTTAGGTAATCATTTATAACTATATATATTATAGGAAAGGTAATTTATGGTAGATGCTATTAAGATCATACAAAATAGAAATATTTGAGAAAAAGAAAGGTGCACCACAACATGTATGTAAAACAAATATGAACTGTTCATTCTTTTTATTCATTTCAGTAAATTTCAGGAAGGAAATACAGGGTCAGGTCCAAACATTTGAACAGCTTGTTCATCACAAGGTATTGTTATTTTTTCCCCCCAAGGACAGCCTATAATCATGTTACTTTTTTTTATTTATCTATATAACTTAATCATTAGGTCTTGAAAATCTCTGCATTAAGTTTTCGTACTGAAAAACAGGATGTGTGGCAAAATGTAACTTTGAGAGGTTGCTAAGAAATGTCTAAAGCAGAAATTGATTAGACACTGTTTTAACTAACTTTTAAATAGCAGGGTATTGACCCTCAATAAGTATATATTTTCCCATCCTCTTTGTGAAAAATTATATCAATACAAATACCAGGATCCATTGTGGAGACATCAGGATGTGACATTACATGTTTTTTCTTGTTCTTAGGATAGTTACAAAAATATTTGAGGGTAAGTTAGTTAAACAGTGACTTCTATTTAAATGATTAATTGTGCGTTAATTTTTACACAAGTTGGGGAAGTTTCACAGAGATTAGCATTCCAGAAAGAAAAAAAAGTTACTTACTGTTACATACAGATAAGCAAATGTCGACTCCCGGATGCAAGAGGACGTTTGATCAGCTTCTGTTTAATATAACTAATCTGTAGTTGTATATAACACATTTGGTAGCCTCTGCCTTGGTAAATGTCATTAGCAGAGTGTTTTCCTGTCACATCTGACATTTTGGGCATGGAAACATTTGCTTTGTAGTAAAACTAAAATCTAGGTGTAAATATTTGTAGTTTTGTAATTTTTAATTGTAAGCCAAGGAAGTGGTCAACAGGCAGAAACAGTTGTTATTGTATGAAATATCTTAATATTAAATTAATTTATAGTCCCAGTTTTACACTAGCAAGGGATAGATGAAATATCTGCGGCTGTAAATACCAGCTTCTGCGTAGCACATACCAAGGTTGGGTTTACTTCTTAATCTGACCTTTATGAGGAATTAATGATATATTATGTACGCATGTGCAGCTTTGCTCGCAGACATTATGCCAGATAAATACATTTCTTCAGCTCTTGTCATTTGTTTCAGGATGAAATTATAGTTTCCCTTAAAAGACATTTGACAATACCAAGATCACTGGCTGTGGCAGCCTTATTAGAGTAAGTTTTATAGTTATGTTTTGTAAATGTGACGCATACATACAGTGTACCTTTCCCCAGTATATAATGTACTTCTTTTCAACACCTGTCTAAAACATTTCTATGGTGATTGGTGTGTGCTTCCAAATGTTTTGGGTTCTGAACTGCGTTTTAACAAATTCTAATAAAAGGTAGTTCTAGATGAAACAAGCTTTCTAGTGATAAGTAAGAACTCCACACGGGATCATGCATTGTAGAAGTCCGCCTGTTATCAGTAGAGATCCTTCGTCGACAGTTATTCCAGCCCATCGCTTCCTAAACAATCTCGGGAGGTGGGTCAACCTGGGTCATGAAGCCAGGCCCTGATCTTCCCCTGCTGCACTTCATCGTACTCGATATGGACATGAGGATATGGTGACGTAACAGGTGATGTGAGGTTTGCTGTTATATTGTCTCTGCTCTCCCCTTGCCTTCCTGCCAGTGTATGGTGTGACTCTTGTAGCCTTTGTCTAAACAGCCATACCCTGCAAGTGGGAAAGGTTATGGTGCTGTTTACACTCCGCTGCCATGTCAGGGAGTCTGAGGGATTTGTTAGAACTAGCTGACACCTGACTCACCTTCTGTCAGTAACCTCTACAGGAACTTATATTCACAGCAAACTAGAGGTCACACCGCCACCGACTAAAGGGAGCCTAGTACAACAGATAGTAGTATTAACACATGCATAAATATTTTTCTTGTTTCAGTCGGCATTCTTGAACAAATTATGGTTCTTGACTTGTAGAAAACATGATTAGAATTGATTCCATCTTGTGTGGTTTCAAAGAGTATCTTAGTTTCAAAAAACAATTTTTATTGTTGCAGCTAAAAAAAATTGTAACAATTTGTGGCTTGTTTATTTTCAGTTTACTGGTACAGCTTGCAAGAGATTTGCAGCAGGAATTCATGCCCCACTTTCAAGATTTCTTTAATATACTTGTTCGCTTGCTGGCAGAAAATTTACAGAATGCTGAAATCTTGGAGCAGATTTTTCAGACTTTTGCATGTCTGTTCAGGTTCCTATGGAGATATTTGATCAAAGACTTCACAACAGTATTCAGGTTAGAATTCATGAATTTACTGTTTGTAGGAGAATTTGATAAAATGTTTGCTTGATAAGAGTATTTCTGCCCCTCTGAGCAGTGTGCTAATTGACTTTAAAGAGAAAGAAGTGGTAAAATATGTTGATTGCGTAAACAGTGTAGCAGAACAGATCATATCTTTTAGTGAGCAGAGGGTCTGCCTGCACAAGAAGAATCGGACACACGGTTGCAGCTTGAGTATGAAAACTTTTCTTCATTGGCTGCTGAGGAAGGAAGGATGAAATGTCCTGTGTGCAGTGATATAGTTTCTTGATTCATTTATTTGTTGTTGATGTTTAGGCATTCACAACCTAAATCATACAGACTTTCTATCAGCTTCACATATTTGTTTGTTGTTGATGTTTAGGCATTCACAACCTGAATCATACAGACTTTCTATCAGCTTCACATATTTGTTTGTTGTTGATGTTTAGGCATTCACAACCTGAATCATGCAGACTTTCTATCATGTTCACATATTTTTTTGTTACAGCTATTTCTCAGAATTAATGCTATCATCTCAGAAAGATTACATCAAGGTGTTTGCAGCTGAAAGTTGTGCATATCTTTTGAGAAAGGTAATGTATCCATTTTTGCCGGACTATTTATGTGAATGACCTTAACTTCTGGGGTCCCATTTGGGGAGGGGGCATAGACACACTACTGCCTAACAAGCATGTTATACAAACGACTTGTTGTGAGTGCTTCCTTCCAAGTAGGAGTGCATCTACCGTGAGAGGTGACGAAACAAGAGTTGCATAAAAGATCTGTAAAATAGATGTCTTGGAGTCTAGAAGTGGATGAATGACCAAAACCTTCTTCTGGTGTTTACAGCTGGTGAAAGTTGAGAAGTTATCATGAAATGTGTGAAAGTATCCTGTGTGAACTGAAGTTGATAATATCCTATTGCTTGGACCTAAGGTCAGACAGGCCTGCATGCCTAATTTGTAACCCTTTGAAAATAAAGTTTGTTTGTTCTTTGTCCCGTTCAGCAGATTAATTTTAGGTATTAGCTTTACTGCAGTCACCCCTGTTTTCACTACTTATTAACCTTATTTGATTATTTTCTGTCCACACTCTTTCCACCTTTCCTAATGAATAGTTTTCTTTTCTTTCTTGTTTCAAATACATTGTATTCAGTTATAGTGGAATATTCTGTCTTTACATTACCACAGTGCTCATGGTCTGTAAAAATATGGGACGCTCTGCCCATATGTCCGATGCGCCGAAAGGCGTGAAAAGGGATCTTTACTTTTTTTTTTTTATTCTGTCTTTAACAAAAGATCCTCTGCCTAATATAGTTAATAATATTCTTAGAAATTACATGTTGTGGGTTTCTGAGATTGAACATATTCATTGCACTGGTGTGTTGATGGGTATGAAGATGACATTCTTTGTGAAATGATCTGGCAACATAAATTTTGTAGATGATATTGACAATGACAGTACCTAGAGGATCAGTCTGACAGCAAATTTGACCCGAGAAACAGAAATACAGATTTGGCATTCTGTTACAAATATCGGAGCAAAAAAGTTTAAGATGTATAATTCTGTAGAAGGCATGTGCATTTTGGATGTCCAGAATTTATGGCACAATATATATATTTTAATCAGTTTGTTGTCTCTTGAATATAGCAAGTGCAGAGTAATATTATGTTTGTTGCTTTTTTACAATGTGTATTGTCATCAGCCCTAATTTTCTAAAATAAAGTTGAAAACTTGAATGCTCCTAGTATTCTCAAGCTTTGTTTATTACATCATTTATGATGGAGTACGCTTAGTTGTACGATTTTAAGATGTTTTGATCTTTGGTATCCCAGTGGTGGTTCCAGGGCCCCATCGAGGAAGAAACGAGAATAAAGTCACTGCTCCAAAAAATCCAAACCATAAAGGCAGACTAAATTATATTTAGTGAAATCGAATGTGTGGGGTCAGAAGACGCAGATATCAAAGCCTAGCTGTAAACCACATTTTTTAAGGGCTAGTGCAGAAGATGATGTATGTTCACTGTTACTTTCCCAACAGAACCATTTAAACAGAAAACAAATAAGTGTAAAAAAAATAATTTTTACTATACATTTTTTATTATAGTCTCTTCTACGGGTTACCTGTGAATTTTGAAAGCATGTTAAATTTTCCTAGTGATTGTATATACTTCTTTAAAACAGATTTAGAGATGGCTGTTTTATTGTCCTATTATTTCCTTTCTTGTCTGCCTTGTTTTTGTTTTCTAAACTAAGCAGAAGTTGAGAAGTTTGGTGAACAAATCTTAATAGCTCTGAGTGTGATAAACATATTTAGATACTTTGTATAGTGAGATTACCCTCAACTTGAATATACAATTTTCTGCCACTGATTACTTCAATTTATCTTGTGCTTTCAAGAATGCAGTATTTTTTCATGTGAAATATTTTCTGCATGTTTTATATTTTCAGGTTAAACACCAAGATGAGTTGTTGAACATGCTATTTGGGTCACTGAAAACTCAGCCTGCGGTAATATAATATTGTAAATAAATTAAGTAATATTGGTGTACTATATGTGTAAATACACCCTAGAAACTGTCTTCTGGAGTTTACAGCCGGTAAAAGTTAAGAAGCTAACATGAAATTTGTTAAAATATCCTGTATAATTTTGAACCTCACATTGTACTTTTACCTTAGGGATGCTATTCTGCCACATCCAAAATCCTTAGAAATTCTGCGTGCAGCCATCTTCAGGGAAGGTCATTCTGACACTCTTTTTGGATGAACGAAGCATTATTTGAGAGCACTACCTGCAAAACTCAATAGTGATCTTCTATGAAATCAACATTGACTTCTTAGTAGAGGGGTCCTATTGCAACATGACAGTACTCCTTGACCCCGTTTTGCATGTGCCACATCCCCATCCATGCCATATCTAGGCCCAGGTGATTGTTACCTGTTTGGACAACTTGGGAGTAAATACTTTTGGGTCTGATAAAGAGATACAACAGGTGGTGCATGAGTCGGTTACACACGACTAATATATATTTTTTTCTACAGGAGCCCAAGCACTTTATCGATGCTTGAAAAAAATAATGCATTTGTCATTTAATTTTTCAGAAAATATTCAGGAACAAAATCTAAGGTTATTTGAAGCTCTCTCACATTTAATAGAATCATCACTAGAAAACTATTTTAAATGGTCAGCAAATTGAAGTCATGAGATTGTATGTAGGCTGGGTATGTCAAAACCTTCTGGAGATTGTATGTAGGCTGGGTATGTCAAAACCTTCTGGAGATTGTATGTAGGCTGGGTATGTCAAAACCTTCTGGAGATTGTATGTAGGCTGGGTATGTCAAAACCTTCTGGAGATTGTATGTAGGCTGGGTATGTCAAAACCTTCTGGAGATTTGTATGTAGGCTGGGTATGTCAAAACCTTCTGGAGATTGTATGTAGGCTGGGTATGTCAAAACCTTCTGGAGATTGAATGTAGGCTTACAGCATTACCTGGTAACTAGTTAATTGTGGTGATCCAGAATATTTATAGCCAGCCACTATTCACCACTGATATGAATCACTCACTGCTCATTGTCAATAAGTAAGTAAAGAACTTTTTTCAGCCTTTAGGTATATGGGAAACTTAGGGCTCGACCTTTATTTTACAGTCCAATCGGCACTCTCTGTGTTGTGTGGTCACCATCACGCCGACTGCCTTTCCTTCCCAGCATATAGCAGAAAGTCTTGCTCCGTCAATATCCAAACCCACGACCCTCTGACCCGCAGGTAAACAAACCGCAGACAATCGTCCATATGATTGTCAGGAAGCATAGTACAGTTATGAGTATATGAAAATTCTAATACCAACCATCAGTTAGACAGCCTCTTAAAAGACACATCAGATTTCTTTGCCAGTGCATGTGAGCTGCACCGACATTGCTGCATGAGTCTTGTTAGTGACCTCTTCTGTAACATCATTGTATGCCTGACCCAGCCATGGAAGATCTCCCATAAACTCACATCCCTTTTTTTGTCCAGTTCTTCACAATCGTCGCCATGCTCTTTCTGTATTCTGCAGTAAGCTCTGACTTGGCAACACCCTTCATATATAAGATTATGAAGATTATATTTTGTATTTTAAATTTATATTTTTGACGAGTAGATCAGTTTCAATTGTTTAAATTATATTTTTTACAGTTGGTAGATGGTATTGGACTGCTACTGTTTGAAATGATGAAGGGTGTGAATAATCACTTTCATTCAATAACTGAACAGGTATGTATATTAGGGAAATTAATTATAGCGTTTAACCTAAGCAAAAGTGATTTAAGATGTAGTGTGTTTTCTTCACTGTTTATGGACAATGCAGGAGTTGCCATATCTTCTTCTTCTTCAGCCTTCCGAGCCCTTGTGGTTCATTGCTGCAGATATCACCCGCCTTCATTCATCCCTCCGATAGCCTTATCTTTCCAGTGACACAGTGTGTCTGCAGGTTTGTCTGGACATTATCTCTCCATCATCTTCTTGGTCTGCCTCATGGTCAACGACCATTCATCTCCCTTGTGTAAACAGTTTTTACTTCTCTGCCATCTGACATTCTTTAAATATGCCCCAACTATTTCAGTCTATTCGCTCTCATGATGCCAGTGATTAGTGTTCATTGAAACAGACTTTGAATGTTGTTGCTTCTCACTGTCCATTCCCCACTGTTTGCATATTTGATGGGTCCAAAGATTCGTCGTAAGACTCTGGAAAACGTGAACCTTCATCAGCACATACATCAATCAAAGAATACCACACAGATACACAGAATCACATAGCTTAGTATCTGGAAGCAGCCAGGTAGATGTCTTGTCCTCATGGCAGGCCTCAACCGATTCTCTAATGTTGTGAATTATCGCGCATGTGTATCAGCACATGTGGTGATAATTATATGCATACATACATTAACTCAGTCTGTACCAAGAAATGTTCATGCATTGATTTATGACTCACTTTCTTCTGATACCAGAAGAGTTAATATGTATGCATATATATGTATTTTAGGTGGGGATAGCAAATAATGGATGCCTTCAGGGGAAAGATTATTAGCTTTTGAGGAGGATCCCCCTCTCCCATTTTTATAACAGACTCTTTGTTGATGACAAAAGGTCTATCCCCATCATTACTTCTTGAAGCTAGGTACCTTCCAGTAACTACTTCTTCACAACAGCAGCAGTAAACTTCTGCATGCACAGCTAAACCTTGAGTTTGTCTTGCTATTAGTTTTCAGAATAAGACTAGTATTTATACATAGTTGACAGCACAACTTGGATGATTTCGTCTATTTCTCAAAAATCAACTACTCCTCTGTTCTGCAGTTGTTTTATGTCCACTATCGTTGACAGAAATACGCATGCTGCTAGGAAAGGTCATATATTCCTACATATCTCTCTGAAACTAGCTTTTGGTTTTTTCTGCAAGAACAGTGTTACTTTCACAACTTTGAGAAGAACTAGAACTGGAGGTACAGAATCATTGACTGCCACAATTCCAGTGATGGTTGCAACAAGCATGTTCACATTCTGAATTCTCTATAGTGTTAACGACACTCTGGTAGACCTTTCTTTGCTTACCATCACTTGCCAATTGTAGAGTTTAAGATTTCCTACGTTGATCGGCTGAGGGGAGTTGACATTTTTTGGAATAAGGCATTTTTTGATTCGCGGTGGTCATCTTTGGAAATTGGATACCCATGTGATCAGTTTTAGCCAGCATGAAGCGCTTGTAATGACAGGTCATGTTGACACCTATATATGGAAGTTTCCAGGCTTATATGCCGGTCAGTTAATGGAAAACAGGAAATTCCACGATCACGAATCCCGTCAAACAATGCAGGGGTCATAATTGTGGTTTAAACGATATATAATACACACAGTTATTTCCTTGTGCAAATAGCGTTGTCAGGGGAGAAACATTGTCAATGTCTAAACAAATTTCAATAAACAAATTATGTCACATCTAGGGTTAGCTCACTAAAATATTAATATTACATTAAATACTTTAGATATACTGAATCTGGGAGAAAACATACAAACCTGACATAAATTCACTGTTTGCAACAATAGAACACCAGCATAGGGCCTCACAAGCCACTGGTATGTAGAGTATACTAATGAACTTCTTTTTTGTTTGTGTTTTTTTTAAAATAGGTATTCCCACTGATTCTGCAAAAGTTGGGAGCATGGAATCCGAACATGTCAAATGAAACTGGTCTGCCTTACAACTTGGTGGAAAAAGCAGTGGTGGTACTAATGCAGGAGTGTGCAAATCACACAACGAAGGAGTACGCTAAACCTTTATGGGACATCATGCTTGTAAGTGTTTTATGGAGTTAGCTCTACCATTAATGGGGCAGCCAAGCGTTTTAGATTACCGCACATAAATAAGGTTGACCCAGATGCTATGCTGATTAGAAAAGTCTGGCTAGTTGGTGAATTAAACTGAACCACTGCCTCAATGAGGTAGCCCAGTGGCTGTCACGTGGTTTAAATCTGCACCGGGCGTCCAAAATAGGTGTTAAGTAATGCCCTAGGGAGTCAAGTTGGCTTGATGCACCTATGCTGTAAAAAATGATCATTTACTCACTGTCTTGGCAATAAGCAAACTCTTGTAATCTTCTTCTGGATATCTTCCATCCAAGGTTCAGGCTCTAATCTACACCTGAATTGATTTCCTTTACTATCATTTAGTTAGGTTTTGACATCAATAAGTATAAAATAGGTCACCTCTTGTTTTTTTCTTTCTTACCTTAGAAGGTTAAATATCTAACAACACTATTTGAGACCATTTTGAAGGATAAATCAAGAGGCTGCACTTTATCACTTCAGGTTATCCTATATAACTCAGTCTTGCTCTGCACAGTGCATGAATCTTGTATCTCCAATGATGACCCACAGAGACCTCCACACTTTCAGAATGCGAGAAAAATAGCTTGACCACTTCGCTATTGGGGTCTGCCTCCCCATTTGTGGATCTTTGATATCATTTAAAACTCCCCCATGCCTCTTACACAGTTTTTAGGCCTATGTTGAACCTGGTGTGTCCACAGCCTAAATACTTGGTAACCTCCCAGCCTAACCTTTCATCAAGAACTTAAAGTGCCAGCTTTTAACAACTTTTGGCTCTCCTCCGAACTTCAATACAAAAATGGCGGACATAAAATATCCTTACGAAGCTCAGCTCTATTAAAAATATGCCGGCTCCATATATCGAAACAAATGCTCTAAGAAGGTCTCGGCGAAATGTTACCCGCGGACCTGTTTCTGTGACTATGCCTCACCGCCAACCGTATCCTCCGCGCCGCTATGCGTGGCGCTATGTAGGCTAAACTAGATGGCTAGGACTCACGAGCAGCAGCTACCGCATCTTCCGCAACCTCCTCCAATTAATTTGCTTGTGAGTCCCAGGCACCTAGTTTAGCCCCCATCCGCGCGTAGCGGCCCGGGTATACGCTCGGCGGTGAATTTAATCGCATTTTGCGCATGCTATTATCGTCTGCAGAAACGCTTGAAATTGTCAACAGTCGCTATTATCGTCTGTAATGTTGCGTCTCTTGAAATTGTCAAGTAATCCTAGTTTTGCAGCGATTTGTTCCTTGGCAGAAAGTCTGCATTTTACATATGCATGAGCGCCGTAAGGATATTTTATGGCCACCATAATATCGGGTTGAAGTTCGGAGGAGAGCACAACTTTTCCATCATTTTATCCTCTCTGTGCTTGTCTACTCTAAGCCTACATAACGACTGTGACAGTAGTCCTCTCTAGTCAGTCTTATTGATAATTAATCATCTTATTTTCATCATCATCATTAGTTTCCACTTCTGCCGTTAAGCATGTGAAAAGTTCCGTTTTGCCCAAACAACTCTGTCAGCATCAGCCTTTTTTTCTGTCTGAAATTGTGCTCAGCACTCTGTGAGAACTCAAAGCCCCTGAGTGCTAAACTAGCCCAGAAACTTTTAATAACTCTAGAATTTGTAAGTAAATTAAACAAACATTAAATAAAGTATACTCAAATTTGGATATTCCCCGCTTTTGTGTGTGCAAAACCATGGTAAGTGAAGAATTAATTTTGTAAAATTATGTTGTGAAATTAACACCTGCTGAATTCTTTTATCCTACTAACTATAACAGTATTAAACATATAATTATCATCATATTAAAAATGTACATTCGTTTCTCCTTGAAAAAGTATATACTTTTGTAGGGATTAGAAGTATATTACATTCTCTCTTGCCTTTTTTTTTGTACACCACCCCCTCTGTCAAATTTTTAAAGGGAAATAAATATGGGCAAAGTCTCAAAATTCATGGGCCTGAAAGAGTTAATGTCATCAGTCCATCTTCTCCTAGAACAGTCTTTGACTTTCACTTGATATCTTGTCATGTGAAGTGTCTGCGTTGGTAGTTGTTCTGGCTGCATTCTTACTACATGATCAAACTATTTGATCTTCTGTTTCTCAATGAATTTCCTGCATGGTGCTGTTCCTACAGTCTGTCTGATAATGTCATTGCTAACTCTGCCTCGAATAGTTGAGTTCTCAGGCATCGCATTTCACAGGTGTTAATTTTGCCCAGGTTAGTCTATGTTAGTGTCTAAGTCTGGCACTGGCAGCACAGTGTTGGTATAATATGCTGTTTAAAATCTGTTTTTTGGCGCTCATACTTATGTTAGGATGTATCAAAACAGTGTCAGTTGGTATATAAGTGCACTTATTTTCATAGACACTAAATTTGAGATTTCTGAAAACCCTTCATTAGGTGCCTATTACAGTGTGCTTAATTGGGTGCCTATTACAGTGTGCTTAATTGGGTGCCTATTACAGTGTGCTTAATTGGGTGCCTATTACAGTGTGCCTAATTGGTTGCCTATTACAGTGTGCCTAATTGGTTGCCTATTACAGTGTGCTTAATTGGTTGCCTATTACAGTGTGCTTAATTGGTTGCCTATTACAGTGTGCTTAATTGGTTGCCTATTACAGTGTGCTTAATTGGTTGCCTATTACAGTATGCTTAATTGGGTGCCTATTACAGTGTGCTTAATTAGGTGCCTATTACAGTGTGCTTAGAGAGCAGAGGGTCCATTTTGTCGCTTCAAAATGGGCCAATAGAACCAGCACGTGATGTTGCTGTCATTACAGCCAATAGAACCAGCACGTGATGTTTCTGCCATTACAGACAATAGAACCAGCACGTGATGTTTCTGTCATTACAGCCAATATAAACAGCACGTGATGTTTCTGTCATTATAGCCGATATAACCAGCACATGATGTTTCTGTCATTACAGCCGATAGAACCAGCACGTGATGTTTCTGTCATTACAGCCAATAGAACCAGCACGTGATGTTGCTGTCATTACAGCCGATAGAACCAGCACGTGATGTTGCTGTCATTACAGCCGATAGAACCAGCACGTGATGTTTCTGTCATTACAGCCAATAGAACCAGCACGTGATGTTTCTGTCATTACAGCCAATATAACCAGCACATGATGTTTCTGTCATTACAGCCGATAGAACCAGCACATGCTGTCATTACAGCCGATAGAACCAGCACGTGGTGTTGCTGTCATTACAGCCGATAGAACCAGCACGTGATACGTTTTCTTTTTAAATTGACCATTTAATTAAGCACAAGAAGCAGAAAAATTTGTTATAAAGTATTCAATCATTTCAGAAAACAGTTGATCAAGTATGCACTGCTTGCATGAGAAATCAACAAACGAACATAGCTGGAAGCGTTGATTTGATTCAACATCTGTGCCGGCTTTTGAGACTGATGTCTGAATGGATGATGTTTAACGGTGGCAGCATAGTTTCAGATGCTGAACTCATTGCAGATGTAAGTTAATTATAAAGTATTCAGGAATAGTTGTCTTGTATGAGTATTATTGTGTGTATCTTGGGAGTGGATTTGTTATGTTGTACTGTATGCAGTACAGTAAAACTTTGATTAACCGTCACTGTCTGGACCAAGACTGTCTTAATGAATATGTACAGTAAAATTTTTCACTGCATCTGAGTCGGAGGAGCATGATCTGACCAGAGATTTTGAGTGATAGATAAACTCAGAGAGGGCCAGTGTTTTGTGGTGCTCATTAACCCCTTTTGCTGCTATGTACTGCTCAGCTACCTCTACCACTGTGCTAAGTTTCAAGCTGAACCTTTCCCCTGTGTTGACAAGTCGGGTGCACTATGGTGACTAAGAAACCTTTGCAGAAAGGAAACACTAGAAACTAGTTTCTTTATTCAAATTTACAATGGGGAAACATTGCTTTGAATGTAAATGGGTCAATGGAATCAGACATTTGGGTAATGTGCATTGTCATTTTACCTATCCATTAAGGGTATAATTGTCGGAAGAAGAGATAGGTTGAAATACTTAAGTTTGACATTTGATCACAAATATCACAAATATTCTTTGGGGCAGACTAATCAAATGTAAGTGTGGCCTGGCAGCATTGAAGAAGACGGCCTAATAACAGATGGAACACTATTTGTCTTTTGTTCAACCATTTAATCCTTACAGTAATTTATTATAACCTAGGAATTCTAACACTATCTACTTCACAATGTACAAAGCTTGACCAGATACTTGAAGGAGAATGCCATAACTGTAATTCAGAAACTCAGGATATCAAGATAGCAATGGAGAAACTGTTAAAAACCAGTCTTGGCTGACAGTATGTGGTAATGCTGACATATGCAAAATCCGTACTTGAAGCACTCCAGTCTAGGAAACTACCAGAATTGCAAACACTGCTAACACAGCTTTGCCTTCAGAAAAAAGTTGTAGTGCAGTGAATACCATCCTATTGTGGAGTGTCTGGAAATGAGAAAGCTGATCAGCTGGCAGGGGAAGATGCAACAAAAGTGCATTGGGATGTACTAGTCACATCCCACCAAAAAAAATTATCATTATATCGATCAGGAAACCACCAGCCCTAGCATCAGACGACTATTTTATTTTGGACAGATCAGAACAAGTCATTATTCTCCGCCTCAGAACAGGGCATAACCAATTACATAACCACATGTACACAAAATTCAAGATAAGCACATCAGCCATGTGCATCTGTGGAAAGTGCTCCAGGACTGCAATGAATGTGACAAATGAAGGCAAACCTTTTGGCCAGAAAGAACAACAGAATAACAACTGAATAAACTAATGACGACAGTGAAATTTATTGGAGAGACAAAATTTGCTGACATAGGCGACATTTCAGGCGGACAAAAGAAGAAAGGAAGGAAGGACAATTGTCTTAGGTTGCACACGAGATAGACCAATTAGAATGAGGTATCTGTTTGGGCTAAAAAGGGTAAAATCATGGATGGCACTAACTATAGACACCATGTCCTGTGAAAAACACAGGGCTAGGAATGAGTAAATATGAACACCCACATTAGGTCGTTAGATCACATCCTGAAGAGAATGTAGAGGGTGGTGTTATGGTTTGGCAGAATTAGAGGTACAGCAGTTGATAGTTGAAAGTGTTGAGCTAGTAGTGTACACGGATGGTTCTGTTCATCAAGGTGTAAAATCTGGCTGGGGATTTTTGCAGCTAGAGTGAAGAAACAAAATCATGACGGAACAAAAGGGAGCTCTTTTATCTACACCTTCAGGCATGAGGATGAAGGTGGAGGCAATCACTACAGCTGCAGTAGATAGCTGAAACTAGTTGTTCTGTCTGAATTGGTACTGCAGAAGGTTAAAATGGACATATCTGGGGTGAGTGGATGCCAAGCATTCTTGGACAAATGCTGATAGAAGACATGGGGGCTAGATGACATAACATGTGTAAGTATGTGTGAATGAGGAATTAGAGAGTGGACAGACCAGACTTATGAGAGGAAGAGCATGTCAGGTGTATATTTGGTGTCCTTCAGCAACAGTTAGCATCTACACCTCAAGACATTTGCTGCAGGAGACTGAGCATTGGTAGGTATGCTCGGTGTGCTGTGTTTTTTTTTCTTTTATCAAACAATGTATTGCCTGTCAACAGGAAACTGAAGGCTTTTGACCAGAATTCACCATCACATTGTCCTCATTATTTCTATATATTATTTCTGTCTAATTATGATTTATACACCATAGCATCCTAGAGAAGTGATTATATAGTATTCTAGTAATGTCAAGATGTGAAATGTAACACATGAAGAAAAAGTCTGGTAGTCCTAATTTCAGCTTCATAGCAAACGGGTCACCCCATCTTTGCTCCGCTCCTGTGCCAACGAAAAACACACAGAATGTTTATCACAGTATTAGAATTGCAGTTCATCATTGATGGTAGCAGAAGTCGCCAACAGATCAGCAGTTGCCCTAGCGATCAATTTTAATCACATACGGGCACGACAGGCATCGCGCCATTTTCTGAATCTACAATTCACACCAACACGTTGGTCACATTAAAAAAAAAACATTCCAAATGCAATCTGCAGCTCACAGGGTCACGCCATGCATTCAACTCAAAAGCTGGGCGACGAAACTATATCCAGTCTACAAATGGAGCAAAAATGCATCGGCCACCGTCCGGCAGAAGCAAAAAATTTGCCTCTGTTTAGAACAGTGCCGCTGCCTAACGTCCATTTTGACTGGAAGTCCCACATGAAGAAAAAGGCTGGTTGGATGATGTTCTGTCAAGTTGAAGAGTAAAACATATATTCTTTATGGTGACTAGAGTTGATTAAATGTCAGTTTCATGTAATACCTTTATTTCTGTCAATATTTTTACAGACACTGTGTACCAGTCTGAAGTCACTGTGTCCTGCAGAGCAGTTGGATGAGCAGATCCTGTACACCATTTCAAACCTGCTGCAGACCTGCCATGACAAACTTTCTGTTGGAAAAATATCCTGTTTGATTTCAGCAGTGTTGAACATTCAATTCCAGTTTTCTGCCCTGAAATGTTTTGTGAAAGATGTCCTCAGTTTGCCATTCTTTGAAAAGGTAGTATATCATTTTCTTAACTTAGGGGTCATATTGAACTCATAAGACCAGTCAGTAGACAAGAACTTCATGATAGTAAACATATTTGAAAATGTGTTTGCTATTATCAAGTCATATATTTGTAATGGCAGTTGAAATACATTAATGGGGGGAAGGGGGGGGGGGGTCATGCTAGGAATGAACTTGTATCTGAGAAGAAAACTCACCATTATCAGTGTTAGCAGTATATAGGGCAGGGCTATTCAACTGGAGGCCTAGCCAGTGGCCTGCCGATCGTTGCCACTGAAATGTATTATGTTCAACAAAAAATCAATCAATGTATCTGTATGGATCTTTATAACCCAGTTGTGTTGAATGTGACAATAAGAAATGTTTTTCATGGATCTCTAAATGCGGATACTAGCAAAAAGGCATTTTAACAGACAATAGCACAACTGCGGGAATGTCTCAGGCATAGAAATATAATTAGTTTGTGGTAAAATTTACCTCAAATAGCAGAAATGGTCTATTTGAAGCAGTCGCTCCAGTGGAAAGTCAATGAAGGTGAAATATTTTTGGGGACGGAGCGTATAAAAATACCATCCCGGTCCAGTTATCAGTTAGATTATTGAAAAACTCTCCCTAATGGTGACCACTAGCTCACAAAGACCAATGACAATTAATGCTGCAGAACATCAGTCACACTGGACACTGCAGAACATCTGTCACACTGGACACTGCAGAACATCTGCTGATGTGATGTTGTTATCAGATTATAATCAGATTTTTCACACACAAGTCACAGCCAGACTTAGATTGCCGAACGCGATTGTGTAGTAGCAAACTGAAATAGTAACATTTTAAAGTTATCTAAATTGTCATAATTTAGTTCAATACTTGATGCCACGACTAGCCAGCCAGCAAAGTGGGAATGCCAAAACCGGCAGTCAACAATGACTGGACACTGAATTATTGATTTATATCACCAACTATGCCTAATTGGAAACCAATGTGCTTGCTATGCGACGAATGTGTATCGGCAGTAAAGGAGTGCAAAGTGAAGTGGCACTTTACAACGAATAATGCTGATTTTGGAAAATCATATCCAGAAGGTTTCACTGCTAGGAAATCACAGGTTGAGTCATGATTGCTGCTGATCAGATAGAGCAGAATGCTTGTGTGAGCTTGTACTCAATAAGAAAAAGCTACTGTAGCTTCTTTGCATGTTTCGTGGAAATTGGCCACACATACACATAAAGCGGCCTTTCACAGACTCAGAAACCGTGAAAGAATACATACTAGCTATTCTGGACAAAATAGCAGTTGATGGTAAAATAAAACAAGCGTGGCACATGCAGTTCAGCAAATCCCTATGTCAGATACTTCGACAATACACAGAATTGAAATTTTAGGAACTGAAGTGTTTGAATCTTTAACTGAAAGCATAAAGCAGGCAGAATTTGTGTCAGTTGTCATTGATGAATCTACAGACGTCAAGACAAACAGTCGAAGCTCACTAAAAAATAATAGGCTGCAAGATTGCCTGAAAATATCTCTGACTTCTCACCAACCAAATTTTATATAATTAGCTTAAAATCTGAAATGCAACTTTTCTCATTAATTACATTTCCCTGCTTTATAGCTTTCGGTTTCTTCTGCACAAAACCATATAAAATGAACTGTGGACAATTATTATCATTATAATTAAACAATTGAAGTGACAGTGCTAACGTTCATTTATAATTCAAACAAGTTGGGAAATAGATGTGTTTCAATTAAAGTGAGTATTATTTAATCATTACAGAACATTGTTGAACATTTGACATGACAGTGATATACAGAATTTGCTCACTTTACTTTGTTTGTTGAAGATTCCTATGCAGAAAGTTACCATAATGATGAAAGTGAGCCATAGAAGGTATCCTCTTACATGCTGTTTAAGATGGTCAGATGTGAATGAGCATGATCACCCATACTATTCAGCATGGCGCTTGATGACCTTTGATCCATTTCAACATTTGTTTGAAGCAAATGTTACGGTTTTTAATATATTTAATTTCAGGATGTGATGCCGGGATTAATGGCCAGATTGAATTCATTGCTGACATTAGACAATGGAGACAAAAAAGAAATCCTTTCACTTGTGGTAGAAATTGTGATGCAGAAAGTAAAACCTCCATTTACTGGGGCAGATGTACTTTTGTTGAAGCCCTACTGTCATGACACTAGCAAGTCCAGGTAAATACACATTTTATAGACCATAATATTAATTTATGTTGCGCAGTAAAGCAGTTCAGAATGTTTGAAATAACTAAACAAAACTGGCAGAGTAGGATAGGACTGCTGTTATGCTTCTGAAGTCTGCTTTCAATTTTTCACATTCATGAACAGTCTGTTGAATAAAAATGAACAAATTGGTTGTATTTTCTAAGATAGACACTTTCAAGAACATGTTCCTTTTTCATGAGAAAAATATACTAACTCTGACTGCATTTCAAAGCTATTCCCTAAGGTGTGTTAAGAAATATGTAAGAAAGTAAAACATCTGATATGATTAAGCAAATGCAAACAAATATCATACATCAATGATTCCTGGTTGTATTTTGGCCATACACGTGGTGCACAAACGAACGAACGAACTTTATTTTCAAAGGGTCACAAATTGGGCACGCAGTGTATTCAAGATATACATCAAATGCTGCTTATTGCCACAGAAAGTTAAACAGTCATATGTCCATATGATTGCAGAAGTAGACTGAGGCCACTGTAGAAGGCAGTTGCTTCCTGGTCACTGTCAAGTCATCACTACCAATGTAGTGATCCCTGAACTTTATAGAACCATCCATTTGGCCACCAAGTATAACATGTGTATACTTTGTTGCGGATCAGCCTTGCTAACAGTCTGTTTTTGATTACTGTGACTGGTTCTCTGTTTTTGATTACTGTGACTGGTTCTCTGTTTTTGATTACTGTGACTGGTTCTCTGTTTTTGATTACTGTGACTGGTTCTCTGTTTTTGATTACTGTGACTGGTTCTCTGTTTTTGATTACTGTGACTGGTTCTCTGTTTTTGATTACTGTGACTGGTTCTCTGTTTTTGATTACTGTGACTGGTTCTCTGTTTTTGATTACTGTGACTGGTTCTCTGTTTTTGATTACTGTGACTGGTTCTCTGTTTTTGATTACTGTGACTGGTTCTCTGTTTTTGATTACTGTGACTGGCTGGTTCTTGATTAAACATTAACTTGGGTAGCCACATGCCAGATATTATTTCTCCTGTTGCAAACTGAAACAGTCTTATATTTACAGTTGTAATACAGTACAGTAGCAATCTTAAACATTCTTAGTTTACTGTTTTAAATAGTAAACATTTCATCGTGCACTTTCAGATCTTTGAAAGAAAATGCTTTTTCCACTTACATAACATCCGTATTGGCTTGTACGTTAAACCAAGAGAAAGCCTTGTCAGCATCAGATCTGTCATTGTTGTGGGGTGCTGTTGTATGCTCACCTCACTTTTGGTAAGTAATCAGTTGTTTTGTTTGTATGTTTAGTGCCGATAAACATAACAGTTTGAAAATAATGTGAATAGAAACCCATGAAGCTTGCCGTAAACATATAGTATTTATATATATATATAAAAAAATTATTGGGTATATGGCATGCCCTATTTACAGGCCGGTTTGGCTTTTTTGTGTGTGGATTCGTTATCTGACATGTCAGCTGAGTTGACCATCACATCTAAATCCGTTTTAAAACCATCGTTTTTTCAAAAGAATTTGAACACGTGACCAAATGGTTGGTCGGCAAGTATGCTAGAAATTGTATTATTGTGGTTCCCTTGTAAATAATCCCTTATATAATTCATGGACATCTCTGGGCATTTCTTTGTTGTCATTTCAGTGGCTTTTTTGGGGTTAGGTAATGTTTCACAATTTTTGAAGTAAAAGGGTTCAATTGCCATGTCGGGTGGTTTAGGAAAAAACCATTCTACAAGACTTGCACTATGGATGAGATTAGCGCCGCAAACAATAATATTCCCAACAGTTAAATTCCTTGTGGAAACAGCACAAACTTTATTTTATTTATGCATTTATAGCTTTCATGCAAAATATTGCCTCTAAAGCTGCTCTATTTTTGTCTTTATCTAGTGCATGTGACCTGCAGACCGTGTCACATTTGTGGAAAGGGCTTTTGATACAGATCGAACACTGTCATGGTGAAGTTTTAGGTATGTGCTCATAATAAATTTGTAAAACACTAGTCAGTAATAATACAGGTTATCTAATTAGTTTAGGTATTTACAACTGTTCACACAATAATTGTTAATTTAGTTCCATGTCCTCTTGACTTATACAAAGCGCGAACAAAGGACTCTCGGATGCAGCAGAACAAATCTTAGCTAAAAAGAAGATACCACATAAACCCTGGGTAGCAGGTGAGATCTTGAAATTATACAACATGTGACGGGGAAAGTAAAAAAAGGAGAAAAGGCAAGTCCCAGCAGTAGCAGAACATAAGCATAGCCAATAGAAAAATAAGGATAAAAATGAAGAGGACAAAAGTCCATTGATACCCAAGATGCCCATTATAAAGGATAAGAAACTAAATGAGAAAATACCAATATTGGAGAAGACAGAATATTGTAAAGACTTGTATAAAGAAGCAGAGCCTGACAATACAGCCCTAGACACTATCGTATGGGAAAGTAGAGAAGTTGGCGACACTGAAATATTTTGTTGAGGAGACAATATACTCACTAATAAAAGGTAATTCGCAGCTGTCGACAGTGTCCCAGCTGAACTTTTTTCTTCTTCACGTTCATCGGCTGTAAACTCTGGTGGAAAGTTCTGGTTGTTCGTCCACTTCTGGACTTTTTCGTTGTCTTTTTCCAGAACTGAGTGGTGTGTATGCATCTGTTTTACAGATATCTCATTTGCATGCAGCTGTTGGTTCCTTGTCTCTTTGGCAGGTACACTCAGACTTCGAAGGAAGCTCTCAATTAGTAGACTCTGACGTGCTGTTGGGTAGGCGGCGAGTATATTCTTGTTTTCCATACAGTAGGGCCCTGGAACCCACATGGAGAAAAGCTTAACTTTTGGGAAAACGCACAACACGTAACTAAAGCGTGCCAGAGAATTTGGGTCATAAAGAAGTGTCCTACTAAATGGACACAATCATTGGTGACACCACTGCCAAAAAAAGAAGTCTGAAAAGCTGCAACAATTATAGAAAAAACTATTGGACCACACAAGGAAAATAATGCAAAATATTAGAAGAATATTAGCTGAAGAACAGGCGGGTATCTGGCAACTTAAGGGGCACTACAGGAAACAAATTTTTTTTTATTTACAATGTTAGACAAATTATTTTATAATGGTCATGTGTAGGGATGTATGTTGATACATTTGTAGGGATGTATGTTGATACGTTTGTAGGGATGAATGTTGATACATTTGTAGGGATGTATGTTGATACATTTGTAGGGATGTATGTTGATACAATTGTAGAAAAAAAACATGTACTTAGACAGCTAAAATTTCACAAAAACAAACAAAGGTATTAAGAAACAGATGATTGTTTCATGAACTTTAAACCTATGTTTAGATAGCGTCAGGTCTAGTTTATTTATTTCAAAAATGTTTCTAAATATTTTTTTTTTAGAATATTAAAATTTAGGTCAAAAGAAATTAAAAGAAATACTAAACTAAACATTTTTAATTCTAATGTCAAATCAGTACTATTGTATGGGGTGGAAACATGGAGAACAACTAAGTTAATTACTAATAAATTACAGACATTCATTAACTTGTGCCTGCGCAGAATAGAGGGAATTAAATGGTATGATAGAATAACTAATATAGAGCCTTGGGAGAGAACTAAACAGGCTCTAGTGGACCAAGAGGTAAAGAAAATACGCTGGCGTTGGATAGGACACACTGAGAAAACAGGAGAACAGCATAACTAGAATGTCTTTGTTTGGAACCCACAGGGGCATAAGAATAAAGGAAGGCCAAAAAACACATGGAGAAGAGAGCTGGAGAATGAAGTTAGAAAGATGGGGAGAGCTCCATGCAATGGCGAAGGATAGAACGACTTGGCGTGAGTTGGTTGTGGGCCTATGCTCCATTGGAGGATAGAAAGGCAGAAGAAGAAGAATGTTAAAAAATTCAAAAAATGTAGCTTTTTAAGATAACAATGAACTTAAAAAAAAAAAAAATACTTAATAAACTGTAATTTTAAAAAGACCTGACCCTATAATATTGTGTTAGGAGTATCCACACCAAATTTTACGTCTCCAGTCTTTATATTAGCTGAGAGTTTAGGAGATCCCACACACAACAAACAGAAAAATAGAATTGTTGGAAAAGTGACTTTTAAACTTTTTTATCTTAAAAAAGTGCATGGGTTGGTGTCTTTAGTATTAACTTTTCAATGCTTAATTGTTTACAAATGACACCAATTGTGTGTGTAATCTATTCTACGAATGCCAAACATGACAAAAATGAACACATTGAAAAAGTGATATTTTTGTCATATTTTGGAAAAAATGCCGTGTAGTGACCCTCTAAGATACCACACAATAAAACTTCAGCATCCGAACAATGATAGAAAAACAACAAAGCAACCTATTGCATAAGTTCAGCGACTTCAGGAAGGCATTGGACCATGTATCGTATGCTGGGCTCTGGCAAATAATGAGAAATTTCAATGATAAAAACATCAGACACCATTGAAGCATGCTAGCAGTGCAATACTTATTCAAAATGACAGGCACATGTTTCAAAACCAGTGTGGGAGTGAGAAAGGGTTGCATACTGTCCCCTTCACTTTCCAGTTTGTAATTTTGGTAAATAGTCACAATAATCAAGTGCCTACCAACATACAGATACAAGGGGAAAAAACTAAAATTTGAAATTTGATAGAATATCTTGGCTCCCACGTTTGTAACGATGGCAGCTGTACCATAAAGATCAAGACAGGACTTGATATGGCAGCAGCCGCCAAATCCCAGTAGATTACAATATGGAAGAGCAAAATCAGCATCACAGTTAAGGTCAGTATTTACAAATCACTGGTGTTGTCTGTTTTCTTACACAGATGTGAGAGTTGGACTCTCACTGTGGAAATAGAAAGGGGCATTCGAATGTAAATGCTATAGATGCATTTTACGAATTAGTTTTTTAGAAGTCCAAAAGGCGTGGAACCAACAGTCTGCATACGATGAAGCCAGTTTAAAGTCCAGAAGTGTGTCTAACAAAGACCTGTACATTACTTTGTAAAATATTGATTGTAATAAATGTCACATTTATTGTTGCAGTGGAAACAATGCTAGCAGTATTGAATCAGACATTGCAAAGCATTTTGATCATTCTGCTGGAACATGAGCCAAATGCCATGCCGGTTGATTATACAGACATTCTAAAGATGGTTAGGTGAGTAGTAATGCTTAGTGAGATTCCATTCTGCTGTTGTGTAGGTGTGTCTTGACATCCACCTGGCTGACATGACATTGACAGATAAGTGATATTGTTTAATCTATGTATGTGGTCAAGAAGACTTCATAGCCACAACTTTCACACTTTGTGTGAGTTTGTTGTATTGTGTTATACTTTTCATTCAGTTTTATATCTTTCCCTGTTGTGTAGGTAGTATCGTTTTAAATGTATTCAAATAAGTCATTCAGGTACTGTCTCCAGAAATGCTTCATTAGACCTCTGACACTCCTACCTCTTATGGTTGTTCACTCTGAGACTACTGCTCGTCATTTATAATGATACATCCAGCTTGAGAATAAAAGTGAATCAGTCACTGCAGCTTTTGGCTGGCTAGAGAACACGTACACACATTGACTCAGAAATTGCAGAACCTTGGGATAGCCCCGATTCTTTTTATTATTGAGCCCCCCCATCCCATCCATCCAATGTAAGACGGGCCTGCGTGCCCAATTTGTGACCCTTTGAAAATAGTTTTTTCGTCTGTACCTCTCCTTTACTATCTTTTTTCTTTATTTTTTCTTTCTTTCTCCCCTTTGTCTCATTGCCAAACTTCCTTTTCTTAGTCTTTTTTTTTCGCTCTCTAGTTTCCTCTTCTGTCTCAAGCTTTTCCTCTCAATCCTCTACCGGCACTTTCTTGTCTGTGACTGGTCGGATCAGAAATTATCTACTAGTACATGGCCTGTTTTCATATTACATGGGGCAGTTACTACGGTATTAGAGCTTGTTTGACACAGACAACAGGTTTTTGGGAATCAGGTCAGGTCAGACTTTTTAAAAGAAATGACCTCGGTTCCCAGGTCCACCCAGCCTTGAGTGTAAGAAATGGAACTACAGCAACCACATGGGGACAGCCAAGCATGGGACCAAAGGGGTAAAGGCCTCGACCTCATTCACATGGAGGAGGGTGGCGACTGGAAACTTAATGTCACTTAGATTTCTCAATCTGCTTTTAGCGCTTAGTGTTTTAACCCACCCCCCTTTTCCACCAACGTTTTTCCTCTCTGCTTTCACACCTTCTCTTTCCTTTTACTCCTGTACCCTTTCTTTTCCTTTCTCTCTCTATCCTTCCTCACTTCCTTTCCTTACTCTGTTCTCTCTTGCTTTTCCTTCTGTTCATTTATTCTTTGTCTCCTCTCCATACTTCCTTATTCCTCGGTATGACTGTCTCTGTATGATTCTCTCTCTTTCTCTGTCTCCCCCACTCTACCTCACATCTGTCTTCCTCTCTCTCTGTATGACTGTCTCTCTCTGTATGATTCTCTCTCTCTCTCTCTCTCTCTCTCTCTCTCTCTCTCTCTCTCTCTCTCTCTCTCTCTCTCTCTCTCTCTCTTTCTCTCTCTGTTTCTCTGTCCTTCACTTACCAGGTCTGGAACAGATAGGACTTTAATTTGGCCTCTCTGCCACCAAGTTTAAAGAAAAATGTAAAAACACTATATCTGTGAGGGTATACCCACATGTTTGTGCATAAATAAAGAATCTTGTGTGTGAAGTACCTTGAAATTGATTGGTAAATTTGGCTATGAACCCTGCTCTTAGGTCTGAAAATTTTTAATGGGATACATTGGCTTAATATTGCAAACAAAGGTAGAAGAAAGTAAACTAACATTCAAGATGTGGATATCTTAAATAAGGAAACTTGTTTCAGAAAGAAAACTTAGTTCACATTGCCAGCATTTTTAAAATGTGGGTAAATAATGATTGAAAGTATATTGCAGCTATATTTATTTATTTGTTCCAAGTACTCTTAATGGCATCATTCAACTTACAGTTAAATGTGTGATTAAACAAAATGTATATGGAGTTTAACTCTTTCAGTACAAAGCAGTAACTACTCATATCCCAAAGAGTTGAGGTTAAAGGAAATAAATACTCAGGTCTCAAAAAGTTAAATATAAACACTTTGAGACAAACATGGTTGCTAATAAATTCAGATACAGGCGTTTAATGTAACTGTCTGTGTTTAGAAGATAGCAAGATGATTATTTTATCTGTGGAAACACAAGAAGTGTATAAATTGTTTGGTACTAATCAAGTTGAATACAGTTTTGTCTGATTAAGAATATATTTCTTCTCCAGATTGAGGCCATCTTGCCTGTTTTCAGTGCAGATGTTGGACCTTTACCTGTCCTGCCCTCAGAATTCAGGTCTACTCACAGAGAGTCAGCTTAGAGAAGTCTATACCTTGCTAGAGCCCAATCTGGTGTCATCATCACATAGTGTAAGGTTCAGTTTGTATAAAGTCCAAGTATGGCTGATAGATTCATTTATTATACTTAACACAGTGAATGTTTTACAACTTTGCAAATTGACCCTTCTATGTTTATATAGAAAAACAATAAGGAAACTATTTATACTGTGAAAAACATGATTAGTTGGACATCCTCACTTCACACAAAAACTATTCAGTCTATTAGTGCTTGGTTATATGCATCGGTACGTAGAGACATAACAGACCTGCCCCTTTATGACTCTTTGCTTTTGCAGTCTCACAAGGCTGAAGATTTAGTCGTCACTTGATTGATTAAATGGCACTGTCCACTGGCAGCATTGAGTACATCAACATGGTGCATTTCTTGCTGACTTTTCACAGAAGCCCCACTAGCAGAGTATCAGCTTGTTAGATTTGTTGTTAACCTGAACTTGCTGAGAGATTCTAGACACTTGTGCCTATGACCCCAGCCCATCTCTGTCTTCTTGAACATACTTGTTGAGTCACTGAGAAAGTCAGTCTTTAACCGGTTGATTGCGTTACTATCATGACTTTATAACTGATGTACTGATATTTGATGCTTTATCATTGATGTACTGATATTTGATGCTTTATCACTGATGTACTGATATTTGATGCTTTATCACTGATGTACTGATATTTGATGCTTTATCACTGATGTACTGATATTTGATGCTTTATCACTGATGTACCGATATTTGATGCTTTATAACTGATGTACCGATATTTGATGCTTTATAACTGATGTACTGATATTTGATGCTTTATAACTGATGTACTGATATTGTATGCTTTATCACTGATGTACTGATATTTTATGCTTTTCTGATTTCAATAGGTTCGCTTGATTACCAGTCATTTATTGTCACTGTTCCCGGTGGTTCTGCCAGACTACAATGATGTATGTATATTTATGTCTCCAACAACTAGATCACTTTGTTTCAAGTTTATTTATTGTCCAAAGCATTGTGGGAAAAAAAAAAATTCATGTCTTCAGCTAATAGTCCTCTATACACATACAAATCTTCTCTCTCTGTCCACAATTCTCTAACTGTGCTCTTGCTGCCAACAACAAGCCTCCTGTTTTATCTTCTCTGTCTATCCACAATTCTCTAACTGTGCTCTTGCTGCAAACAACAAGCCTCCTGTTTTATCTTCTCTGTCTGTCCACATTTCTTTTACTGTGCTCTTGCTGCCAACAACAAGCCTCCTGTTTTATCATAAATTGGTGCACCAACAAGACTCACACAGTAGATTTACATGTCTTTGTAAAGAAATCTCTCTTATTACTATTAGATTTGGTTTAAAAAACAAAACAAGAGAAATTAAATGTAGAGATGAAACATTGGAAAGTGAAGGCTCTTTCTCTCTGTTTGGACTAGGGTTTGACCAGGGAAAGCGTCTTCAAGATCATGTATGAAGCAGAGAGAATGGTACCTACAGTTCACTGCTACAGAGAGAAGCTTGTTCACCTGCGTAAGCTTGAATATAATTGCATTTTCAAGTGTCTGCCATCACAATTTTACAGAAAGGTAAGCTGTAGTAGATGTGCTGTAATATTTAAAAATGTATTCAAAATAAAAGCCTCAAGGGAGTGTCATTTCTAAGATTGTGTCACTAAAATAAACAAATGCTTGGTTTCCACAACGTGAAAATAAATAAATCCCCCCTTTACATGACCAGGTGGAAGTCAGACAGTTGATTCAGTACATTTCAGGACCAGGTGATCTGATTATATACAGATGGTTCAATGGTGAAAGGAAAGAGAAGTGCCTGGGGTTTTGTAAAGCCAGTGGAAAATCTTTAGTGCAAGACAGCCTAGCATACGACACAACAACATCTGGCATGAGAATGGAGGTGGGGGCGGTAATTGCAGCTCTCTGGTAGCTAGAGAACAAGATGCAAACATATGTCAAAATTTTAACAGACTGAAAAAGGTGAAGACAGGGATGCTTCAAGCAGAGTGGCAAGCTTCACTGGGAAGGTCATGGGCAGTTAGCATACTTTGGATCATTTCTCCTGGTCATGCCGGCATAGTGGGTAATGAACAGGCAGACAGATTGGCTGGATCTGCACCACTGGGTGATGAACTCATGCATGACAAGGCAGATGTTGTCAAGGCCCTCTATGAACAAGTAATGGAATCAGTAGAGAAACAAGATTATTATGGCCTGGAGAAAATGAGACACCTGAGTGTAACCAGAGGGTTTGGCTGACTCACTACACTCATAGGAAAGGCGAGACAGACCCATAACCAGATTGTGACCAGTACTATCTGTATTAGAACTCAGCGCTGGTTGCTGAAGGTGAGGCTCCGAGTGCTGTGATGCCAATTCTTGACTCAACCTAAACTCAACTCCAAGCCTCTGTGATGTTTAGCATGACAAAAGTGCCTCAGTTTTTGAGACAAGATGCAGTTTATAAGCCAGAATAGTTTTATTTTTAGTTCCCGTGATGAGTTTCTTAGGAAAATAATGATTCTAATATATTGATACATAAATGTAATTGGTAATAAAGTCATTGAATAAAACTGAAATCTTTTCAGGCACCCCTGCTGTTCTTACTTGGCAATGAATTTTGGAATTTTAAACTCATGTGGGAACCTCTTGCTGAACTGATTTCATCACATGCCCAGGAGCTTGATTCAGAGGAATTTTGGGAAGTTATGTTTAATCAGTTGAAGAACGCTGCACAAGGTTCCGGTAAGTATTGACACATTTTTGGCATATATTATTTTTCTGTATGACTTTTTTAATTAAGGGGTTGGACTTCATTCTTTGATCAGTCAATGACATTGTAGTCGCAGATTTTGATAGTCCTGCCTGACTAGAGACAGCAGTCAATGAAGCTCACAGATTAAAGTGCTAATTTCACTTTATCCTGGACACTTTACGCCAAAGAAAAATTAAAAACCTTGTTGAGCTTTTTTCAAACCAAAGTGGGTGATATTCATATCAGAGCACGGAACACTGTGTATGTTCAACAGTTAATACTTCCTAACCAAGAAAATGGTACATTTTGACAAATAAGCATTTTACAAAGTTGAACAAAGGTTTATGATATGTCTTGCTGCTGCTCTTGTCAAGCTCAGCATATTTAGGCTGTAATATTCTTGCAGTCCTGCTGCGCTCTCATTCATGACTGTGATAAGTGTCTGGTCTCAGGCATCCGGTTACTCAAGAGGATCTTCACTGATGCCTTCACATTTTCTGGCAGATTAAAGATTGTCCATAGATTATCTAGCCTGTAAAATCTGGCATTGTCCATTATCATCTCTCTACATGCCACAAACTCCTAGACAAATGAGTTTAAGTGGACTCTGCCTCTGTTTTTTTATTAGCAGCGTTAGTGTCACCATGCAGCCTTTCACTTGAGTGAGTCTGTATCAGTCACAAATAGATGTTAAATCCACTCTAATAAATGAATGTGCACTTCTTGTATGACAAAGCATGTGATGAGAGAACATAAGATTTCCAGTGTATAGGCATCTTTGTATTGTTGACAGTCAAGCTTCTTGTCAAACTTTTTGAGGGCATTGAAAATTTTAGAAACAGCATTATAGTTTGTTCATGCAACACTAGCTGTGGCATTATAGAAACAGCATTATAGTTTGTTCATGCAACACTAGCTGTGACATTATAGAAACAGCATTATAGTTTGTTCATGCAACATTAGCTATGACATTATATAAAAAAAAAAAAAAGTAAAGATCCCTTTTCACGCCTTTCGGCGCATCGGGCATATAGGCAGAGCGTCCCATATTTTTACAGACCATCAGCACTCTGTGGGTAATGTGGTCAGCATTACGCCGGCTGTCTTTACTTTCCTAGGACAGACCATCCTGGTACCCATTTTAGGCTAGGTCGACCTGCGACGTCCCATACCACGATAAAAATCCGCGCAGCCTGCAGTGGGTTTCGATCGCGGTATGCTGGCTTACGAGTCGGACTCGCAACGCCTTAGCCACGGACGCCGCTTATGACATTATAGAAACAGCATTATAGTTTGTTCATGCAACACTAGCTGTGACATTATAGAAACAGCATTATAGTTTGTTCATGCAACACTAGCTGTGCATTATAGAAACAGCATTATAGTTTGTTCATGCAACACTAGCTGTGACATTATAGAAACAGCATTATAGTTTGTTCATGCAACACTAGCTGTGACATTATAGAAACAGCATTATAGTTTGTTCATGCAACACTAGCTGTGACATTATAGAAACAGCATTATAGTTTGTTCATGCAACACTAGCTGGGACATTATAGAAACAGCATTATAGTTTGTTCATGCAACACTAGCTGTGACATTGTAGAAACAGCATTATAGTTTGTTCATGCAACATTAGCTGTGACATTGTAGAAACAGCATTATAGTTTGTTCATGCAACACTAGCTGTGACATTGTAGAAACAGCATTATAGTTTGTTCATGCAACACTAGCTGTGACATTGTAGAAACAGCATTATAGTTTGTTCATGCAACACTAGCTGTGACATTGTAGAAACAGCATTATAGTTTGTTCATGCAACACTAGCTGTGACATTGTAGAAACAGCATTATAGTTTGTTCATGCAACACTAGTTGTGACATTGTAGAAACAGCATTATAGTTTGTTCATGCAACACTAGCTGTGACATTATAGAAACAGCATTATAGTTTGTTCATGCAACACTAGCTGTGACATTGTAGAAACAGCATTATAGTTTGTTCATGCAACACTAGCTGTGACATTGTAGAAACAGCATTATAGTTTGTTCATGCAACACTAGCTGTGACATTGTAGAAACAGCATTATAGTTTGTTCATGCAACACTAGCTGTGACATTGTAGAAACAGCATTATAGTTTGTTCATGCAACACTAGCTGTGACATTGTAGAAACAGCATTATAGTTTGTTCATGCAACACTAGCTGTGACATTGTAGAAACAGCATTATAGTTTGTTCATGCAACACTAGCTGTGACATTATAGAAACAGCATTATAGTTTGTTCATGCAACACTAGCTGTGACATAATAGAAACAACATTATAGTTTGTTCATGCAACACTAGCTCTGAAAGTGAAATACTTCTGCTTTCTAAAAAAGCCAATGTTTGGAATGAACATTAATGGAAGGATTGGCTTCTGAAAGGTTGGACCAAAAAAGGGAGGGGGAGGGGATAACAGGAGGTCAATTTTAAAAATTTTTTTTTTTACGTATCCAGAAACCATGAGTTGTAAACCCTTTGGCTCGGTACTATGGATATCGCAACCCTTCAGCATTGATTCCATTATAGGTACCGTTAATCTGGGAGAAATGTGGCTTTTCTGCCTACCCCCGGAAGTGAACCTGGACCACAAGGAGTTCGTCACCCGGCCGCCGCGAAAGTCAGGTTTAACCAACTTCGCTAGAGAGCCGGCAATAGGCTGGACACCACATAGAAGGCTGTGGACAGACCGATATGATTGCCAAAGCCACACAACATGTATTATAAGACGGAAGCTTTAGATGTTATTCATTTCTTCTGCGGTAGAGTTACCTTCCCCTTAATTTTGTCTGTTAAGAATTGTTTCATTCCTGGGCAGAGGAACTTTTTTTTTAACCGTTGATTACCACATTGGCTGTAATGAATCACTTGATATGAACTTAACATGAATAATTGTGTGTGCTGACCACATGTGCTCAGTATGAGGGAACCTTCACTTAGAAGTACAACCCATCAACCATTTTTAACCAGAGCACATGTTAAATTGAGAAGTCTTTAAATTGAAAAGTTTTTAAAATGAAAAGTCTTTAAATTGAAAAGTTTTTAAAATGAAAAGTCTTTAAATTGAAAAGTCTTTAAATTGAGAAGTCTAACTGAATGAATGTTCTGTTATTAAACTGAGAAATCTAACTGAAACAGTATATACTACAGGTTATTACAGCAGAAGGTAGTTATACCTGCAGGCAGTCCAACATTTAGGATTCACCATGTTTAAAAAAAAAAGTTTATTAAATGCGAAATATTGAGTAACACATGTATGTATATTTTGCTTTCCTCTTTCCGTTTCTTGTTAATAACAGAAAAAGAACTGGAAGTACAAGCGGCAGCAGTCAGTGACTGTGATGGACAGGCAACTGTATCCAGTTTGTTCAGACAGCATACATCACATGTTTTTGTGGAATCAAGACAGCCCAATTTTACAAATTTCCGCATACAGCTATGGAAGGCTATGAGAAAGTTCCCCGACAGATGCAAAGCCAGATCTGAAGCACTTTGTGAGCTGTATCTCAATTTCCTGAAGTATGTATGTTTGCAGTATGATTAGTTATAAGACAGATCATCATTTGATGCTTACTAGTTTAGAGAAATAAACAGTTGCTTAGTGCAGCACAGTGATGAGCAACTATCTAGAGTTTCTTTATGCCAAAAATTAGCAGTTCACTCAGCTCATGTCTTGCATGTGGCTAAAAGTTAACCACTTTGATTGTGAAATCTGTTTCAGAATAATCACTGAAAGTATCCAAAATCAGCCGAGGATTCCTTACAAGCATTCTCTTTGGCTTGTGTGGCATTTTGAAGGATTGCAAAGCAAATCATTTCCTAAATTTGTCCTTACAATCAGTGATTCTTTACAGTGAAATTGTTGTTCTAGGTAGGGTACTTACCCAAAGAAAACATTGGGTGGTGAAAGAGATCCTTCAAGGGATGCTAGCCTTGGTTTAGTGTGCAGTAATAATAATTAAGTAATAATTCATTTGTGAGAATGAGGCACCTGGCCGGCTGACTACACTCAGAGGAGAGGCAAGACCAGACTGTAACCAGCACTATCAGTATTGGAACTCTGCACTGGCTGTTGAAGATGAGGATGGAGTTTGCATGGGAATGCCGTGATGTCAATTCTTGACTCAACTCAACTCAACCCAAAGAAAGGGTTATCAGTTTTTTAAAGTACTTTCTGTGTTCTGACTGCAAGCTTCCCTGAAAGTTAACATGAGTTCTCTTGTATGTGTTTACTGCCATAGCCACCCAGCTGTGAACTTTTGTTAGCAGCTTGTTTTGCTGTTTTTATCAGTGTCAGGACAGTGCACGGGAAACAGGTTCCATCTTAGCCACTGCCGTCACTCTCACTGCTGCCAGGCTTCACAATGTTGCCATTGACATGATATTGACAGGTTGAGTAAAACATTTATTGATAATATCGTCACTAAATTCTCAGCTAAATTTTGTATTTCTTTGTAATATTGACTGTCACAAACTTTCTGTTGTTCCTATCTCACAGAAATGAATTCGCTGCGGCTGATGAGGATAGCATGTCGTGCCAAAATATTTTGCTGTCTGATGCTGGAAAATCTGGCACTCAGAGTGAGGATTCACAAGCTGAAACAGACATGGATGTAATAATGGAAAAAAATGATGAAAATATTGATATACCTGTGAAGGAAATAGAGAATGTTTCACCAAGGAGAAAACCTGCCATTCTGTAAGTTTTTACATATTGAATGGCAAATGGTTGCATAACAAAATAATTATATTAAGATATTTTACTATTCTTTCTGTACGTTCTTTTTGGTGTGTGCTCTGAGAGTTATGTATGTGTTTCTTTATGGTGTGTGCTCTGAGAGTTATGTGATTCAAAGTCTTCAAAAAATACAGTTTTTTGAACTCTTTAAAAAAAAACCGTGTATGCTAAGTGCATTTTTTTTATGGGCTTCTATATATATACTTTTCCAAAAATTGTTGATCTGACACATATTTGATGTTTTGAACACCCGCACATGGCCTTAAAAGCATCGAGATTTTAAATTTCTGACCCTGATAGAGCTGTGTGACCTTCTTGATCTAAGCCTTTCAGTTTTTAAGGATACCATTGTGGTAGATATAGCTGTCAAATTCACTTAAGGGGTTTGTTTGTTTGTTTTGTATATATAATATATAAAAAAGGCTATCCTCCGAATAAAGGAAGCTGCAGGAGATGCTGTAGCTGCTGCTCGTGAGTCCCAAGCCACGCCTAGCAGCGTGGGAGATACTCTCAGCGGTGGCGGCATAGTCCCTGGAAGTCTGCAGTTTGGCGGTGGCGGTATAGTCCGCTATTGACACGTTAGGTTATATTTTCGGCCTCGATAATTTGTGACCGTTATTCGGAGGATAGCAATATTTAAAAATATATTTCCTACTTTGGGGGGGGGGGGGGGGGGGGGGGGGGGGGGGGGGGGGGGGGGGTGTGTGAATTTTTAAATCAAAGGTTAAAAGAAATAGCAGTTCATTTAAATAATAATATTGCATTGAAATGTAGTATTTTACCTAGAAAATCGAAAGCATCAATTGTTTTCTCATTTTTTTAAACAGGAGTCTCCTAGTTCATCTGGAGTTATTAGCACTGTTCAAAAAGCAGAAGTCGGTGTTTCTCCAGTCAGAGGTGCAGAACTCCTTCTACGATGTAAGTTGTTTTCATTTTGTTAGTTATGATGTTTCTCAGATTTCATCATCAAATATGCAATGTTACTTTTTTATATACATGTATTTGATTTGGATTACACGCAAGAGAATTAATAATGTATATTTTTTGCTTTTTTTTTGAACAGCTTTTGAAACACAGGAATTCTTCAATTCAGAAAGCTGCTTTTGAATGTATATTGAGCTACAAGAATCCTCATATCTTACCATACAGGTCAGTGATAACCAAAATTGTTTGTGATTATTTTTGTAGATAGTTAACTGCAGGTGTTAGAGAGAGATAGAGAGACTTAGTAGTAACAGACATTTGGAAGACATGGTTTGCATTTATGTTTGACACAATCCATGTGAAATTAGCCTAAAACTTGTCCAGAACATTCTGTTACACATTTAGTTTGTCAGTCAGGTGCTGTCTCAATGAAGGCTGGCTGCAGTGGTTCCCAAGCATGCTAACTTTTTACAATACTTGTAGGCTCTCTCAGACAGATGCTAACTTTCTACAATACTTGTAGGCTCTCTCAGACAGATGCTAACTTTCTACAATACTTGTAGGCTCTCTCAGACAGCCATTTACCAGTCCCTTGGTTGATCTATCTCTGAAAAATCTCACCGAATCAAAGAGGCAGTACATTCTTTTGAAAAAAAAGGCAGCAGGTAATGATTTTATTACTGAGTGAAAGATCTGGTATACAGAATTATGGACACAATAGAAACCACAGATCAGTAGAAGAAAGGATTAACCTTAAAAATAAATTTACAAAAAATACTGTTATAACAACTGGAAAGGAATTGCCTAAAATAGTTCTAAATGTAATTAAATATTGGACGCAATCCTCAGAGAAGGCTTTTGCTGTCTTACACATAACGTCCTTGTAGAAAATCTTGGAATATTATGTCAATAACAATAATTTTTAAAAATCATTGTGTGAGCAGTGGATATAGATGATAGTTGAAACGATTGGGTTATAGTTGAAAAGTGAAACAGAAATGTATCTTGTTTTTTGGCCTAACTATTGACCGGGTGATGACAAAAATATTGGCAGGAAATATCGGCATTGACTGGGTAGAACAAACAATGGGGTGATTTCTCGATTTTGCAGAGGGTATTGATTTGCCAAGGAAGAACAGCAACATGCAAAAAAAAATGATTAAGCAAATAAATTATCAACAAACTGATAACAAAACGGTTACAAAAATACATAATTTTGATTAACATATCAAGTATAAATCACACACAAGACAAAAACAGAGTAATATATCAGTTTACCTTTTTAGGTAGTAATTTTAGTTGTCAAGGAAACAGAAAAAGAAAAAAAAAAGAGATTATGTACATTAGCGAGGCAGCTTTTGAAAGATTCAACACAATCTGAAACTCCTAATTGTTGCGTTTGAAAACCATTATGTATTCTCCATTCTAATGTTATTTCACTTGTAAGATATGCCACTGATAGTTGGAGAACCACTAAAAACATGGAATGAAAATTATCTGCCTTAGAAAACAAATACTCAAGGAAATTGATCAACATTAAATAGGGTGAATTCAAGAAAGGAGAAAATAAAATATATTTATGGACAACTGGTATCAAGAGATAAAAGTTAAAGAAGGTGGCTTTCATGGACACATCCTGCGGAGGAGCGAGCAGAGAATCACCAAACAGGCACTGGAATAGGAACAAGATAGATTGAGGAAATAAGGCTGCCAAAGAGAAAGCCTTAAATGAATGTTGTCGAGAGAAGCTAAATCTGCTGGACTAGAATGCATCTATGATATCAAAATTGTTGCACACAACAGAATGGGTCGAAGGACTAGACTGTGAGTACAACGGCATGACAGGATGATCCATGTGTGTGTGTGTGTGTGTATATGTGTGTGAGAGTGAGAGACAGAGAGGACATGTTGTCATAAACATAACATCACCATTGACCTGTTAGGTTTGTGGAAGTGTATCAGTGAGGCTTGAGATGAAAGCACTAGCATACAAAACCTTCCTTCTTTCTTCAGCTTGTTGAAGCACAAAATATATAGTCATTTAGTCCTGTCCATTTCTCCATGTTGTCATTTGAGGTTATTTTCTTTGCCTCCCTCTTTGTCAACTACTTTAAAAGTCTATTTCAGCACTCAAATCATGTCTGAGCGAGCTGTTTGCCATGTTTCACCCACGACCGGCTCCAGCTGACGGGCCCTGCTGCTGACGACACTGGGTCAGGCTAATGATGCGTTAACGCGGTGGTTCTCAAGCAAGAAATAAACTACTTTCGACAGTGGCGAGGGAAGATAACTTAAATGTTAACTTTTAAGTATCTACATGCTTTTTTTAATCATTTCAAAAATGTTAGCCGACTTTTCTTGATTATTGCCGCGGTACCCTTGGCGTACGCTTACGGCATCCCGGGTTACATCAGCGCCCAGTCTGAGAACCGTTGCTTTAACGCATCGTTAGCCCGACCCGGTGACGTCAGCAGCATGGCCCGTCAGCTGGAGACGGTCTTGTTTCACCACAGCCAGGAGAGGCTGCTCATGTTCTGCACATTTGTTTGTTTTGTCTCTAACCTGTTTCTGAGTTTTATGTTTTAAATAGCTAATGCCATGTCCAACAATGTCATTTTAATAATCATTGTTTTTCCAGAGACAACTTTTACCGCCTCCTTGAT